CCTAGCAGTCCAGGGAACTCTTAAGAGTCTTCTCCAGCACCACAGTTCAAAGGCATCATTTGGGATTATATCTTGGATTATAAATGTTTTAGAAGCATACTGACCTTGCACTGAAGAACAGGACATTTAAATTTCATAGGTCACCTTTCTTTCATCTTACATTGCAACATGAAAAGAAAGGATATCAAAGAGTGTTCTCTTTTCCCAGTAATGTCCAGATCACAACATCCTTGTATCTCTCTTCCATCTGTTATTTGTTCAAAATTTGCTTCCAGGCCATTTCTGATTCCCTATTCTTTCCAATCTGCATGATGCATATCTTAAGTTCTTATCTGACTAGCAGTTCATATTCTTCCCCCATTAATAATCCCATTCATCCTGGTAGAGATATGTATAAATATAAAAAGCCTCAGATCTGGGAAGTTGTTGCAATCACGGGCCTGGGCAGAGTCAAGGGCCTGAGTCCTGCAAAGAGGCTTTACCGTCAGAGACATCAAGATTCTCTCAGGAATTGTGAGAGGAACACTAGCAAGCAGAAAGCAAGATGTGGAATTGTTCTCCTCATTTCATATGCCCAAGCAAGATCATCTTGTCCTCTGCTTCAGCTTACAGTGCAGTACTAGTAATAATATCTCTTAAAGTAATTTAATTGCATGTGCATGCTGTCATTTATGAGCTGCACAAATATGGACAATTGCTAGAAATCAGCAAAGGTAATATATGCATCTGAATCACTCCTATATTGTCTTTTATCAGTATTTGGGTCTAAATAACTCAATACTGGAAAAATAGTCAGTTTTTAATTACTTTAGAATATTGGTAGTACACTGGAACTGTTTTTTGTAATGATGCCTTTGCTTCCTTTTCAGAATGTGACATTTACCACAGTCCAGAGGAAGTATTTCAATGAAACTAAAGGTTTGGAATATATTAAACAATTATGTACACCGGAATTCAGCACTGTTTTAATGGAAGTTCAGTCCAAGTATGTGTGTTCTAAAAATAATTAATTCACTTTAGCTTGCCATATTGTTAATAATTTTTCAGTCAGTAACCTGGGAACTTTACCTATAAGTCTTCTTAACCTTCTATCTGAATCAGTAATGTAAGTATTTTTAAATATAACAACACAGGTATTGACTTCGACCTAATTTGTATTTTATATTGAAATGGATCCAAGGAACACGAGTAAAAGTTCCAGTGATTGCCTTTCTATGGACCTCTTGGGTCCCATGAAAAGATGTGGGATGTGACATGCAACAATTCAGTGAACATGGAGGGTAATCCACAAATGGAAGCCTCCTGTATTTCCTAATTTGGTTTGGATTCAGACCATAATTTTGTAGTCATTTTCCTAGCTGGTGATTCATTTATGAGTGTCTCTTCTTTTCTTTTGCTGTTATCATTACTGTGTCTTATATCACATGATTAGATGATTCTGAAAAAGGAATTTGGGATTAAGCATTATTAGCTTAATAAACCCTTATTCTAAATAATTGTGGGTAGTATTTATAAGACTCAATTGCAATGTAAAACTAAGTTCAGTGGAACTGAATTTGATTTTAAAACCTCAGCTATACTGAAATTTCAAGTAAATGTATTTAGGGTCTTTGGTTAGACTGTTCTTAAATAATTTCAGTAACATAGAAAAAACTTTTTTTCTATGTGGTTTTCCCTAATGGATTGTATTCATGATAACATCCCCAAAATTAACTTTCAGTCTGTCACCTCAGTTTCTTAAGAACTACAAACTGTGGCCTTACACTGAGGTTTAACATGTCCAGCTGGAATTTTCTTCCAGTAGAGGGCATATGCAGAGCTTATTATTTCTGTCAGATGGAAAACCATAACATAAAGCAGGGTTTCTGAAACTATGGGTCAGTCCGGAGGGGGATCGCAAAGCCAGATCATTGGTCTGCAAGGGGAGCAATGGGCTGCAGGGATGGTAGGAAGATGTGCAGCAAAGCTGGATCCAAGACCACCAGCAGCAGGGCTTAGGAGCAGGGTCAGGGGATCTGTGGGCAGGATGAAAGGTATCAGGGAGGGACACATTGGAGGCTGGTCTCGCGGAAGAGAGATCTGGAATCACTGGACATCTCACTGGGTTACTGCTTCCACCTTTCCTTTGAGAGCCAGTTTGGGTAGGCTGTCCTATCTGAATCCTAGGAGCACTAGATACACAATCCCCATCCACCAAATTGTTATCTTAATGGTGTAGAATAGAGCAGGGATCACCTGGTGTCCTGCTCTCCATCTGTATTCTACTGCCATTAGTATTAAAGCTGGAATAACCATAGGCCCTTGGGGCTGTCCATGCTAATTATCTACAGTATACTTTCTAGTAGCTCTGAACATTTTTGTGCCTTTTAGTATATACTGTATGTATGTACAGTATGTATGTATGTATGTATGTATGTATATATATAGAGAGAGAGAAAGAGAGAGAGAGAAAGAATGCAGATTGCTGTTACTAAGTTCTCTGCCCTTTTACCACTTGCCTGTCGTTCAGACCTCTCTTCCTGTTTTTGCCTGTCTTTTGTCTTGTTTTGCTGATTAACTGTTTTTTTGAAATGTTTACTGATATATAATAAATAAATGTCAAGCTATATTTTTGCTAGCTGAACTGAGTGGCATGCATGCTTGCTTTGATCTGCATATAGAAATTGACTGGGAGTGTCCTGGGTACAAACTAAACTGGAAATTACCTACATTAATTTCCACTGTTCATAATATCCAGTGCTCTTGCCTAACTTTTTTTTCAATAATAGCATCAATGTTTTTAACAGCATTCTGTTTTAATATTGTTATTTTATGGTTTTATTCTGTGGCACCCAGAATCACGTTCTGTGAGATGGGCAGCCATATAAATATGATTTATGAATAAATTTATAAATAAAATTAATTTTCCAACAAGGAGAAACTTGGCAGTTTGAGGAAAAGGAAATCCAATGGTCAGCTGCCAACTTGTCTAGGTGGATCCAGACTCGCAATTCCCACACTTCAAATTTGCAACCTCCAGGCAAAGCCGGATTGCAGTCAGAACAATCCTGCTTTTTCACATAAAAGCCCCTTGTCATACCCTGTTGGCATGTCCTTAACTGAAACATGTATTTTCCTAATATTATGCAGCTACTGTGCAAACCCAGTAAAAGATGCATCTTTTTTAAAGAGGCACCAACAGTGTGGTATGTGCACCCATACCTGTTCTGAAGCACCTTTTCAGCTTTGGATCTGAAGGATTCCTATTCAGAACTATTGAAAATGTGTATATATTTAGTGTTTATAAACTATGCATAGGCCACCTCTATTTTTCCAGTTCTCTGCCTTTTTTAAGTAAGTTTTTATTCTCCTCTATGGAATGTTGAGCTCATTAGAAAGATTCTGGACTGTATCCACACATTTTTTGCCTTAAAAGTATTTATTTCACTTTTATCTCTCCTTCAAGACATTTAGAGTACCATTTAGATTTCCTGACTATAAACTGTACCAAATAAGAGTGATTTGCCATGCTCACTCAGTGAAATTCATGCCTGAATGTGGATTCGAATTGAATTTTTCACATCTAAGTGCAACATTCTAGAAAAATATACAGTTCATAGAAGCTTTAATGTATGCATAAATTTTCTGTATCAGGAGAAAACTCCATTTGGATACTGTCCAAATTGTTTCCACCTCTCTTAACTGAAAGCCTAATACTATTGATTTTATTTATTATGATGTCTTTGGTGACAGATGCTTCTTGAAAATAATCAGGTTGTCCACAAGGAAATTGTAAGTCATTACTGTAGAATGGAGAAACACTACAATTTTATTTGCAAAATGGAAATTATTTATTAGGTCTTTCATGCTATTTGCTTTTGAAGATCAGATTAAGATTCCTGTTAGAATTTCCTCTGGAAAGTCCTCTGATTAATCAAGCAGTACCTTGGGGGAGATACCCAGCCTAGTGGAAAAAGCAAGCTCATTGTTTATCCTGAAAGTTGCTTGCAATAGAAATCTTTAATCTGTGTCTTACTCAGCTTATGGTGAATTTTTGACTTGAAGAAATTACATGAAGTTTGGACAACTTTGAGGAATCTGGTTTTGACCTACCTACAGACATAGACAATATCTATTTTTCTCTGATCCAGTGCCAGCTGTCTTCTTGTCTCCCAGCAGCCACACCAGCCATTTCCCATCCTATGGAATGTGTTGCCCTCCTACTATAAAAAAATCTCCTCTTTTCAATTTTTTGGAATCAGATGTCTCAGGAATAAGAAATAGGGTGGTTTGTAAATAACTATTCTTTCCATATTCTCCCCATCATCTCCTCCACTCCACATATACTCAGCAGCACAGCCTAATATAACTACTATCAATCTGTATAATAGGAATAACAATTATAACTTTATGAAGTGTTGTAAGGGTTATTGAAAGTGGCTGAATGCATTTACAATCAAAGAAACGTGACATACAAAAATTCTGGACTTCATGTATTTATCCTGACAAATAAATACTAAAACTTTTGTAAAACACTGAATACATCATCTCTTGTGCTAATCATTTATATTGGCTTTAACACTTTTAATTTTTTGTTTGTTTGTTTGCATATGTGTATGTATTTAGTAAGGCTTTCATTAAATAATATAGCTCTTCTGGTTTAGATATTTTTCTTCTTGGTACATTTCTTTGAAGTGGGAATAAAGGAGAACTTTCCAACACTAAGGTATATTATGTGGTATACATGCTGTTTTTCATTAAAAAAATTAAAATGAATATTAAAATGTTGTTGTTCAGTCGTTAAGTCATGTCTGACTCTTCGTGACCCCATGAACCATATCGTGC